ATATATATATACCTATATCTATCTATAGCTATATCCACATCTATCTCTATCTCCATTTATATATCTATATCTATATCTATCTACCTATCTCTATATCTACCTATCTCTACATCTACCTATCTCTATCTATACCTATCTCTATATATACCTATCTCTCTATATACCTATCTCTATCTACATATACCTATCTCTATCTATATATCTATATCTATACTATGTCTATTTATCTATATCTACATCTGTGTCTCTCTATATCTATACCTGTATCTATATTGATACCTACATCTACATCACCTACATCTGTATCTGTATCTATGTCTATGTTTGTATACTCCCTTCCAGGGGAAAATAGCCAAATCCATGGTCTGACCATCTCCCTGCTAGGAACATTAATTAAACATTTGCTACTTTCTTCCATACCAGATGCTTCCTGGTAATATAGCGTGAGCTTCTGTAAACTATTTGAAAGGTTACCTATTTTGAACTGAGACTAAGGTTTAAATCCTATCACTGGTTCTTCCCTGTCAGTCAGCTGGTCTCTGGAATTCTCTGAGACTCAGTTTCCTCATCTGTGTATTGGAATAATATCATCTTCCTCACAGGGTTACTGAGATAATTAAGTGAAGCCATTCAATAAAATAGATGGTAGAATTAGTATTACCAGTTAATAAAGGCACCATCAATGTCATATCGTAAATACAGATTGAAAACCTAGTACTTATTTTAGCAGAGATTCCTCTAAAGGTTGCTTAACAGACACAGAATTACCTGTTGTTGTTTTTTTAATAGTTATAGGCTAAATAGTCTAATCTCATTTGCCCCTGCTACTGCTATGAATTATCACTAGTGAGTGCTTATTAATATGTGGCCGGGAGACGCTAAATATACTCATTTTATTCCCTAATACCTCTGTGAGATGACATGTATGCTCATTATCCTCATTTAACAGATGAAGAAACTGAGGATAAAAAAGATTCACTTGCCCTAGCTGATCAGTGGATAGAGTGTCAGCCCAAGAACTGAAGGGTCCTGGGTTCAGTTCCGGTCAAGGACATGTACCTTGGTTGCAGGCTCGATCCCTGGCCCCAGTCGGATCACATGTGGCAGGCAACCAATTGATATGTCTCTCTCACATCCATGTTTCTTTCTCTCTCTGTCTCTTCCCCTCCATTCAACTCTCTTTCTAAAAATCAATGGGAAAAAATGTCCTCAGATGAGGATTAATTTAACAACAACAACAAAAAAGACTCAAGAGCCAAGTGCCAATGCATACCTGTGATGCATACCTGGGTTTTTCTGACAACACAGTGCCTGTCTTCAGTCCCTATGCCACACTCCCTTTCCCTGCGATCTCTGTGACTCCAACCATATCTCTGCATGTTGGGATGGCTTCTCAGGAACCACTTTTAATT